TTACATTAGTTCGCATTTTTCATTTGTTTTTCTTACTACAGTTTTTTTTTTTAATGTATTACTTGGCTTTAATTTGAGTATGTTTTTCGCGTTGGAACGAATTATTTGGTTTTACATGTAATCGTATGGGAAAAGATGATCCACCTTACGACATTTTCATGATACGATTTCAGTTTCCGAACGGATTAATTTCTTATCCTGAGGTACCACTGTATAATTTAATTTTCTATTTTCAAATTGTTCATTTTATATTGTATTTATATAATACTATATGTCAAAAATTTCTCAAACTCTCTATTTTTTCAGATTTTTTTTTTTTGTATAAATATAGAATTATTTAAATGGAATATTAAAAAATATTTAGATACTTAAGATAAAGCAATATATTAGGTTTATAGACTCTCACCTAAACATCAAATTTATGGTAAAACACCCAAATTCAACATTCAAATGTTTTTGTCCACTCGTTAATTGGTCTTCATCAGGAAAAGTCAAACAAAAATAACTGTTCTATTTACTGAGGATGCAAGAGCACCTGGAGTTTACCGCATCCCACTACAGGATGACAGGTTCAACAGGACACTAACATACATTGGTTTCACATACAGATCATTACAAGCCCGGTTACGAGATCACAAGTATGACGTAACAAAAAGAAACCTCCCAAAATATATTTGGGAGACTATCTGATTTGTGAATAAGAGAGTAAATTGATTATTTTTCATTTTCTAAGTAAGATATAGCCTAGTTTTCTAGTTTTAATTTATTTTGTTTTTGAATAGTTCTCCCACAAGTTCAGAATGAATTTATTTTTTTGTTTTACTATTATTTTAGTTAATACAAAATAAATATATACAACAACTTTAACTGATATGTTGTATGATTTTTTTTATGTTTCTCCCTGCATCATATTGGTTCAAGTATGGTTAAATAAATAAAACAATATAATTTTCTGAAATTAAAAAAATAAAAGTGATTTAATAAAATTTTAGAATGAAGAGACTTTCTGTGTAGAGTCAAATAAAGTAGCTTTGAAAAAAAATACAACTTATATATAGTAATTTACTCTTACTTGCTAAATCCATTGTTAATGATGCAGGATAAATAACAAGAAAAAAAGGAGTTCCCTTGTAGACTGAAATTTATAAGTCTTTACCAACTGCATTTTTCTCAAAATCTGAGTGTTGTTTCAGAATTTAAACGGCTTTCAAATGACAATTTTAACTCATCTTATAAACTATGTAGAAAAATGCAATAAATGTTTCCTATTGTGGCACAAGGCTTGGTACCATTCTCATAGAATGTGTTTGGTTGCTTATGCAGTCACAGTCAAACTGCCATCTTAATGTTGTCATCATTTTCAAAACATTCACCTGCTAACTGTATGGCAGATGGAAAATGGCCTGATCTGGTCATCCTAGATGCTCATCATTCCACTTCTGAACTTCTCACACCTTGCCACGATAGACAGTTGTCCCCCATAAAAAGCATTCATTTCTTGATAAATTTTGCTTGTATTCTTGCCAGATGCTCACAATAATCAAATTACACTTCTATGTTCCTCCAGCATGGAAATTGACAGAATACCTGCCATTTTCAAACTCTCATATATCCATTGCATCTCACCAGACAACATTGGAAACTGCTGAGGCAACACAGAAGAAACTGCCCTCTCATATGTATATTTTGGAATTGTAATTTTTGATTTTCTTTTGCAATTTAGTGTATAAATGATATAATAATGCTACTATAAAAATAGTAAACAAATCAGATTCATCAAAGTAAATGAATTTTACATTTAAAACATAAATCGAGGAGGATTCTTGTAAACAGTTTTGACTTTTAATGAACTACCTTACCAAAATAGAAAAAGATTTCACTTTTAATAGTTCTAAAATAATAAATATACAAGATTATTTAAATTTTTTTATAGGCTAATGGAATGGAGACAGATGAAATTCAGTCAGAAATCAGCAAATTACATATGCTGATTGCAGAAGAAGATGCAAAAATGAAGAAATATAAGGTAAATTAACTTTTACAAAATTCATCATCAGATGATTTAATTAGTAGAATACATTAAGCTGAAAACAAAAATATTTATCTTATATAAAAAACTCATAAAAATTGTCTTTTAACTGTTGTTTTTAAACAAATTATAACATTAGAAAAAACTTTAAAAATTAATAACTATATATCCTATATTAGGCTAATATGGTTTTTTATATTGTGTGTTTAGGTGAAATGTTTTATAGTAATTAAAATAATAATAAAAATTTACACAAAATATGCACTATTTAATGTATTCTCTGGTAGTGCTTATGCAGAGCCATCTGCACATTGTGCTAATAAATAATAATAATAAAAATATTTAATGTATTCTGGCTCATCATTATTTCTTCAAAAAAACAATCATTTTTATCTTCTCTTTATTTGAATGAATAAATAAACAATGATACTATATTTGCAATAAATATAAAAGAATTTGAGTTCATTGTGTTAAATATTATTTTGAGTTAGTTGGAACTTTTAATCATTTTGGCAAGTGTGTGTATATATAACAGTGAATGATCAAAGTAACATGACAATGACATTGTTCACTAAATGTCTTGTATTTTTCATGTGAGTATTGTCAGCAGTGGCTGGGCATTGACACAAATAATAGTCGAATTATCGGTCATTGTTCAATATCAATAACTCTCTATTTTTTCAGATTTTTTTTTTTTGTATAAATATAGAATTATTTAAATGGAATATTAAAAAATATTTAGATACTTAAGATAAAGCAATATATTAGGTTTATAGACTCTCACCTAAACATCAAATTTATGGTAAAACACCCAAATTCAACATTCAAATGTTTTTGTCCACTCGTTAATTGGTCTTCATCAGGAAAAGTCAAACAAAAATAACTGTTCTATTTACTGAGGATGCAAGAGCACCTGGAGTTTACCGCATCCCACTACAGGATGACAGGTTCAACAGGACACTAACATACATTGGTTTCACATACAGATCATTACAAGCCCGGTTACGAGATCACAAGTATGATGTAACAAAAAGAAACCTCCCAAAATATATTTGGGAGACTATCTGATTTGTGAATAAGAGAGTAAATTGATTATTTTTCATTTTCTAAGTAAGATATAGCCTAGTTTTCTAGTTTTAATTTATTTTGTTTTTGAATAGTTCTCCCACAAGTTCAGAATGAATTTATTTTTTTGTTTTACTATTATTTTAGTTAATACAAAATAAATATATACAACAACTTTAACTGATATGTTGTATGATTTTTTTTATGTTTCTCTCTGCATCATATTGGTTCAAGTATGGTTAAATAAATAAAACAATATAATTTTCTGAAATTAAAAAAATAAAAGTGATTTAATAAAATTTTAGAATGAAGAGACTTTCTGTGTAGAGTCAAATAAAGTAGCTTTGAAAAAAAATACAACTTATATATAGTAATTTACTCTTACTTGCTAAATCCATTGTTAATGATGCAGGATAAATAACAAGAAAAAAAGGAGTTCCCTTGTAGACTGAAATTTATAAGTCTTTACCAACTGCATTTTTCTCAAAATCTGAGTGTTGTTTCAGAATTTAAACGGCTTTCAAATGACAATTTTAACTCATCTTATAAACTATGTAGAAAAATGCAATAAATGTTTCCTATTGTGGNTTTATTTATTTTTTTTTAAGGTGTTAAAGGTGTTCAAGTTGAAGAGTTATGGAGTTTAGATCCAGAAAGTTTTGAAAAACTGAAGTAAATAAATTTCTTTATCAAAGAATAATTTTTAATCTTTTATTTAGATGTCATTTTTTCTTAATTGAAATTTGTTATATCAAATAGAAATGCTGTTGTAGCATAAATATTAAACAGATTAATAAAAGATAGGCCGAGTTTTGTCTATTTTTGGCATTTTTTTTTATTCAAATACTAATCAGAAGTGATTTTTATTAGTTACATGATAATTTTATCAATATGTGTATATGTGCATGTAATAAAACATGCAAAAGTCAGCATTGAAACTTGCATAAAAATACAATATACAAAAACAACATAATTTTTTTTGTAGGCTAATAAGACCAGACAAAGCTAGAAATGTTAAAATATCAAGAAGTCCAAATATTTTAAGCAAGATTAAATGTTGTTCAAGATACTTTGCTTCATCATCAAATTGCAACACTAGTTCAAATAAAGAACAATTTACCCGTGTTCTGATGAGACAAAACGTCTGGAAAAATTATATTATTTTTTCCCCCCAGGATTGTTTACATTAACACTGTAATGACTATACAAAAAGTTTTTTGGGCTAATTGAATCTTTTTTCTATATTTCACCAAAGACTGATAATATACAATATAGCAGACCCCTCCACGTGTTGTTGTGGCTCAAAATGTATCTGTTATAAATGTATAGCACTTCCCCCATGGGGGGAATTTTTCGAAAAATTTCTTCTTAGTATACATTCTCTACATACCCTATTACAACACAATCAAAAACGCAAAAACCTGCATCTAAAATAGTATAATAGAAGCCAAGTTCTTCATGGTAAGCCTTAATCCTGTTCCTCTCCCCCACAGGGTGAATATTGAAAAATCCCTTCTTAGTGTACATTCTGTTGACGCACCCTATTAAAACGCAAAAGACCGCATCTAAAATAGTATAAATAGAAGCAGAGTTCTTTACGGTAGACCTTAATCCTAACCATCTCCCTTCAGTGGGGGGAATTTCGACATGCATATTATATAAAAACACATGCGTATTCGAATGCAGCGTTGTGTCAAAATTTCAAAGGAATCAGTAGGAACAAACGAACATTACATTTTTATTTATATAGATAGATAGATGATGNAAACAAAAATATTTATCTTATATAAACAACTCATAAAAATTGTCTTTTAACTGTTGTTTTTAAACAAATTATAACATTAGAAAAAACTTTAAAAATTAATAACTATATATCCTATATTAGGCTAATATGGTTTTTTATATTGTGTGTTTAGGTGAAATGTTTTATAGTAATTAAAATAATAATAAAAATTTACACAAAATATGCACTATTTAATGTATTCTCTGGTAGTGCTTATGCAGAGCCATCTGCACATTGTGCTAATAAATAATAATAATAAAAATATTTAATGTATTCTGGCTCATCATTATTTCTTCAAAAAAACAATCATTTTTATCTTCTCTTTATTTGAATGAATAAATAAACAATGATACTATATTTGCAATAAATATAAAAGAATTTGAGTTCATTGTGTTAAATATTATTTTGAGTTAGTTGGAACTTTTAATCATTTTGGCAAGTGTGTGTATATATAACAGTGAATGATCAAAGTAACATGACAATGACATTGTTCACTAAATGTCTTGTATTTTTCATGTGAGTATTGTCAGCAGTGGCTGGGCATTGACACAAATAATAGTCGAATTATCGGTCATTGTTCAATATCAATATAAAATGTTTTTTTTTTATTTTTTTTGGAGCATTACACACCTATGGTTAAGGACATTTTTTAAGTTATGTAACACAGGCAATACACAATATATTTTTGGTGACTTCCTGCTTCCCAACATTTAAAACTGAATGAATTTCTTACTCCTGGATAAGATGGCATAGGCCTATGTGATAAATAAATAGTCTACTGTATATTAATAAAATAGATTATAACTTTATTTTGATTTTTGCTTTCCAATTTGGCAGTTGTTAAAGCAGACTAAATAACTTTTCACTCAGTTGTAGGGGAAGATGTGCAGAACAGGAAAAGTAGTACTAATAAATAGTTAATTATGAGGGTGGGTTTTTTTTCAACTTCTGATGGTCCATAGAAAAAAGACAAGAGTAAATAACAAAATGAATTTATTACCAAAAGTTAGGTACAAACATGGTGACTTTTTGACATAATCACCATGAAGATTGAGGCATTTGTCATATCTGCGGACGAGCTTTTTCATCCCCTCTTCATAAAATGTTGCCACCAATGAATGGAGATGGCCTTAACAACATTGTTTTGAAAATTGTCATTAGTCTCAAACCTCTGCCCTCCTAGCCACATTTGGGAAAGAGGTGGAAGTCTTCATTACGTTTAAACATCCAGCATATAGCCCCGATTTGTCATTGAGAGACTTCCACCTCTTTCCTGAACAGAAAAAGTGGCTAGGAGGGCAGAGGTTCGAAACTAATGACAATCTTCAAAACAATGTTAAGGTCCAGCTCAAGTCACTGAAAAACTCGTCCACCGATATGACAAATGCCTCAATCTGCAGGGTGATTATGTCGAAAAATAACCATGTTTTTACCTAACTTTTGGTAATAAATTCATTTTTTATTTACTCTTGTTTTTTTTCTATGGACCATAGGAGGGTGAAAAAACAGCCTATGTATTTTCAGCTGTTTTGAGAAGTATAATTAGTATAATTATAACACGTTTCTATAATAGATCAAAAAGCCGTTTTTTAAAGTAAAATATAAAATTATCTTTAGAAATAAAATGCTGATATTTTCTGTTTACATTTATAAAAAAAGATTTTATAGAACAAAAACTATTGTTAGTTAATTAGCATTTAAGAATGAATAAATATTAATATCATATATACAGAAAATAATCTAAGAAATTATCAATATAAACAATTAAATTATGATTTAAAAAAAGCATTAATTTTCAGTTGATTTGATTTTCATCAGAATCTAATTATTTAATTCAGTTGTATCTGAATTAAATTCATTGTGTGATTAAAAAAATTTTGTATAAGTTTCCTATTTTATAAGACACTTGTGTTTTTACTAATTCTACTTCAGTAAACAACTGATGATAATTAAGAAGTTGGAAGGACTATACACTATATTGAATGCAATGGCTGCTATGACAGTTCACATCATTAACCAAGCAGCACTGGGACATTGTTTTAATGTAGTGACATTATTGTCTGCTAGAAAGGTGATTGATGTTCCTGTTCTGTCTGTTCACATCATTGCCAAACACAATATGTAGATGTCATGAATGACTGGCTATTCATTTTGTATGTCATTGGCCATAACATATATATATATACACAATAATCCTCAGCATTATCAATAGGTTCTTGGAAACTGTGATATTAAGCAAAATGACATATAACAAAACCAATTTTAATATAGGGTAAATGGTATAAATAAGATAGAAAATTAACCAAATTATTTGATCATGTTTGCAACCTCCAGCATTTATTTCCCATTTTATAGAATCAGTTTTATGTTTTATAAGGAAAATTCAACAATAATAATTGTAAATGATTACAAATGTACTTGTATCTGTCCTCAACATTATAATGAAATGATGTTAAGCAAGAATTTTGTATAAATACAAGGAGGACTTGCTATATACAAGTATCCCAATATGACTAAGTCTCTCTCTCTAATACAGTTTTGGAAATCCTCTGCACAAAATTCAGAATTTTTCTTTAAGTAAGCATGCATGCATGTCTCAAATTTGCCCATGGAGTTTAGAATATTGACATTTCAAATTATTTTGTGCTTTTTGTCAGGTTTACTTTAATGAAAACTGATAGTACAATTTGTTTCTTCCTTGTCCTAACTTTCCTATTAACCAGGTGTCATTGTCATTTCTTTCATGCTAGCCTTTAAGACACTATAAAAAAATCTATAAAAAGAAAGCACAGTGTGACAATCTTTGTATTTAGTTAAGTGTTATTAACCTCTTTTTTTAACCATAGGTATTACCTATGAATGATTATTTCATTCATAAAAATGAAGAATGAAATACAGTAGTATCTTGATATTCAAACACAAATTCTGGAAAAAAGTCACTTGGTATTCAACTGAGCAAATGTGACTCGCTAGAACAAATTTTTATTTTATCATAAATTTTTATGGATGGCAAAAACTAAAAAAATATGAAAATGTTGCCAATACTTCTGATTGAGATCAACAAAAAAGCTGAAATGATGACAATACTTTGTAAAAGGAAAGTGTCCTGGTTTAAATAAAATTAATATTAATGCTTAATACAATACTTTGATTGATTATTTTTAATTAATTGCTCATAGGAATAATTTATTTCCATTGTTTCGTATACCACAGATTTGCATAATATGGCACTTTTCAGAACATAACTACCATGTTATATGAGGGATATCTGTAATTGCACGCATATTTTTGGAATTCAATGGCAAGATATTAAGTTCAGCTCATAAAACTTATATTACAATTCTTAAGCTACCACCCAAGCTTATTTCATCATCTTATCCTTGTTTCAATTACCTTGAAATGAAAATGATGCTGTAATGTTATATATAATTTCAGATTGAACCATGCAAAATAAGTTTTGATTAACGTAAACGATTATTAGATATTAAAATTTATGAAATGGCTTTAACAAGAAGCAGATGTTATGTTTTTAATCAAAAGTTTTTTTTTTTTTAGATTTACAAAATTTTTTAATGTGAAAGTTTGTTTTGTAATGATGTGTTCTACTCAAATAACACAAAAGAATTTTTCATATTTCTGAAGATCCATAATCTACTTGTTATTTATATTAACAAAAAATTAAACCGTGTTAACTAAGATATATTTGAGTTTGTTGTTTACCAGATTGGATTTATTTTTATTCTAATGATTATTACAACTTGGATAATGTTAATATTTCTAATTTCAGATTGAGAATGTAAGACGGAAACATAATTACTTACCATTAATAATGGAACTATTGAAAGTACTTGCAGAGGAAGGAAAGTTACAAGTCCTCGTCGAAAAGGTATTTATTTTATTTTATGGTAAATTCAATTGAAAATCATACGAAAACATTTTTTATAATAAAAGACATCTTATAAAATTTCAGGCAAAAGAGAAAGCAATTGAAAAACAAGAAAAAAGCAAAGAAAAGGTCAAATAAAATGTTTCATATTTTCTCTCATGATGTGGAAATATTTCAGAAATAAAATCTCATTGTTTCATTCAACATTCACAATTTTGACATTTATTGTTATATAAATTATTTCTAGTACAAATTCTATGTTATCACAGCAATTTTACACAAAGATATACAATGCCGTTACAGAAGAGTAAAATTTGATATTAATTTTACAATGCAAAATATGCTATTGGTTTATTAAACAAGAATTCAAATTAACAAAACAAAACTTTTCAATATTTTGATTCCTTAACATTTTCTGAAGTGAGAAATTAAACCAGGAATGTATTTTATATTAATAGCTGCAGTTGGAACATATAATTTAAGAATTTTGTTTTTTATAAATAACACAACTCTTACATTGAAAGTTGCCTTAAGAATCACCAAATAATGTTTATCTTTGATTTTTAATTATTGGTGAGTGTTTGTTCCCATACATCATAGAAAAATAAAAATTATAAATATGGTAATGCTACTGTATTTCATATTAGTAGAATTAGAATAAAACAGAATATTTATAGAAGTAAAGAGTTTTCTGCAGAAGTTAGAAAATTCCTATTTCTTATAAATTGTTGCATTAATCATCATAGCTGATGTATTTTAGTTGCCAAACGACAATATTGAGAATATCTTGTAATGAATAACCTGCATCGAAATATCACAATATTCAATCCACGATATGATATTTTCATTGGTCAGATGTTGAAATAAATCAAAAATTGTGCCAGTACCTATGACAAAGTTTCAAAAATGGTAGCATAATTTACATTACAACTCTATTAATTCAAAATAAATTAAAGTAATTTACTGAATATTACAAAAACAAACATATATTTTAGGTAAAAATGTATAAAAAAATTATATATAATCAATAAGTAGATAGATACTCTTAAGTTTAAAATCTTAGCATAAATTGCATTTTGCTTTCTTGGATATTTTTATTATACATAATTCTAAGTGATAAACTTTTATATTAAAAACAAGTGACTAGATATAATGAATTTAAAAGCATTTTTGTTTTTAACTGCTTTATATAATAAATAAAAATACTTGTATGTTATGGAATGTATTTTCCATGGTTGTCAAAATTTGACAAATTATTTTACGGATACTCATATAATATTTAAAACAAAAACTTCTTAAAGTGAAATTGTGCTTATTTAAAAAATTAGTCCTGCTAATATATATATATATATATATAAATCAAATCTAAAAAAAAGATATTATACATGATGTACAAAACAACTCGTGAGGTAGATAGCAAAAACTTGATCTGTATACTTATGATAATGATTTAATTAGATATTTAATTAAATATGCTAATTAACTGCTCTCGCACCTTTCTGACATAACTTGCAGAACTTGATCGAATTTAGTATATCTTTCGGCTGCAGCAACATTAGCACCTTTACTTCCCCATAAAAACTTCAGATGGAATTCTGTTTTGAACATATCTAAAATGGAATTGTCAAACTTAACGTTATCCAATACTATTTCTCCGTTCCTCCTGTATGTTGTGCATTGTTGTACAAATGTTCGTCCCAACTCTAGATGTAGTAAGAGCAGTTGAAGTCCGTAATCCGAAGCACTCTGTTCCCATTGTAGCCCGAGAGACAGAATGTTAACGGTTTTTTTACCGCTTGGTTCTACTTGTGGTTCCGCATTTAATTCGTTATTTTCTATTACTTCTATATGCCGCTGTAATATTGTTATCAGCGATAACAGATATGGAATACAAGTGTTGGGAGCTTGCGGATTGGAGCATTCTTGCATTGACTTAAGCGTAGGTCGTAATTTTGTTTCATAAGTGAATGCATTTTCGGTGAAGTTTTGACGAACCGTTAGCCACGTTGACCTCAAGCGATCTATCTATAAAAGTATAAAATTGAACAGAATTAAAAATATATATATATTTAAAATTCCATTAAAAATTTATTTTCAATATTACCTGTTGTAAAGCCAAACCTTGCATGATGGCTGTAAATCCATATAAATTTCCTAGTGCAGTTTTTGTTTCTATAGCTATTTGAATCCATTTATGTACCAGATTTGCTCGTTCTTCTTCATTGCTACAGGTGAGTATTGTCACTGCTACAAAGTATCTCAAACAGTGATTCCTATAAAATTAAGTATTTAAACACACAACATTTATTAAAATACTTTAATAATTTAAAGATATTACCTTTCCATCAAATCCATTCGTAATTGTTTTCCTTGTGGCAAAGTAATTAGTTCAAGTCCCGATACCACACCTAAACCAAAATCAAAATCCGTGCTATTTTTCAACATATCTAAATCAATTCTAGTCAAGTGATTTGCTAGTATTCTTGGACCATTTTCTAATAACAGACGTCTAATCTGCAACAATGTAGATGATTCTAGAGGTTTGTTTTCTGTTTGAAGTAATGTGGTTGCAAATTTATTTAAGTCGTAACAAGACGGGGGATTTAAATTTGGAGTTGACATATCTGTTATGTTGATATTTGGTGAATGGCCGTTACTTGGAGCATTGCCATCTTTATAAATGGGTTCTGTGTATACGTGTTGGTTAGGTAGTCTGCTAGGTTTGGGTGGAGGGCCATCTCGCTCTTGGGTGGGACTAAGCTGAGGATCGCTACCAATTCTTGCCATTCCTTTCCATCCTGCAGGTTGATGATGTGGCCGCAGAGTTGCAAATCCTGCAACGGAAGAAGTGGCCGTTTTGTTAAAGGTGCCGGGATGAGATTCTGCCGACAAACTTCCGTCCTCGCAGGGTTGCGAATGTCTTCTTGCCAAACACGGACTTCGATCGGCTTCTCTGATATCTGTTTCGGCAGCCAGTGCAGCATAATGGAGTTGACACTGCAATCCGTATCTGCTAGCATAATATGTAAGTGGCATTGTACGGTTTACGGGACAATTTATAATAGCTCCAGAAGCGGCCGACACTGCTCTCTTATTACCTACATAATAAGTTACTAGATCAGGTACTGTATCAAAACTGTCTTCTTCAAACTGATACTGTACTTTCTCGTAGACTGTAAAGGGTTGGAAAACAACCTAAAAAATAAATTTTGAATGAGTTAAGGATGGCATTTGATTGGAAAATGTTTAATAATTAAAATTTAAGCAAATTTATAACACATTTCTATTTATAAAAACTATTTCCTTAAGTTGAAAATTAGCAAAATATTTTTTTTAATTTATTGATATGAAAATCAAGATAGTCTATTATAGAAGTTATGAAAACACAGCAAACATAATATTTTCATGATAAAATTTTGCTCTGTAAAAAAATTCAAACTCTCTGAAGGTATGGAGGACTCTTATAGAAGGAAGAATATATAGTACATTTTTTTAATGTTTTAATTTTGATATTATTTGATGATACACTGTTCTAAATGCTGCTACTTTTCTACAGGTGATCTTATATTATGATTAATAATATACTATTTATAACAATCATTGGTGCACATTACATATTCCAGTAATGTGTTTTTTGATCTCACTGGGCTGTTGCAGCAGTTGGTAATTTAAAATTTTACAACAATAGTAAATTGTGAAAAAACTGAATGCCAAGAGACACAAAACCTTTGAAATATCAAAATTTTGCAGAAAATACATCATTTACTTATCAATTCAATATTCAAATGCAAAAATGAATTTAGTACAATTTTACTTTTGTTTCGTTTATCACATAGTATATGCAGTAAAATAAAGGGCTATAAAGTTTATAATATACTTTCGAAATTTGTCCAAAATCAATTGATAAAGCAAAACACCGTGCGAAAGTAATAACAAGAACTGAAAAAAAAAAAATCTCAAAGTTTGCAGATACTGAAGATGTGACATTGCAAAGTTCCTAAAAATTTGTGAGCATAAAATGTTTTGAAAATTGCCCATGCAAAAATGAGTACAAATATAATGGGATATTTTTCATATTCTATTTCTTCATTATGCAAGCCAAGAATAAAACTTGCTTTGAAAAACAGTCAGGAGAAAATGATTGACTAGAATGTGCAAGAGAATAATTCTTTATATATGTCATTTAATTGAAATAAACATGAACGTAAACATTATAACTCAGTTTTTGTCTTCTACACTTTCTTCCTCAAAGTCAGTAAGAGGCCCTTCTTTTTTTTTCAAAGCCCATCATGGGGGTAGTCAGGCAGTGTGAGGAATGGGACTCGACGTATCCACAACAGATCCCCAAAAAATTCCCGGGGTTTCTCGACTCATCTGGATTTATTCCTAAGTCTCCAGAATGGTAAATTGACACTGTTGCTCAGCAAACCAGTCATATTCCTGTTTAATTTAGTGAGATTGTTAAACTCCACCATATCAAATAGATTCTCACTGGCCATACTTATACTAAAGTAAAAGAATATATCCAAAGATAATCCAGTAATAGTCACCACTGTCTAAGAATATTTTTATTTTTTCAACTTAATTATCATCATAAGTCAAGTAAGATCACCTTTTTATGAAGTTTAGATTGTAATATATTAAATATTGAGTAATACAATATTGTGATAATCACTGACTGAGACGTTTAATTGATGTGTATTTTAACTCTCCATCTAGATACACAGTAAGATAGTGAATTATGCCAAATTCCATTACTATTTGGAAATTGTAATATTGATCTTCTATTATATTGCAAAATTACTTTGGGCTATGACAAAACTGTCTGTATTTGATAACCCAAATTATTTTTCTTTCTTTTAGCATTGTGTTCTTCTATTAAGAATTTCAATTATAGTCACAAAATGGGTAAATTTAAATAAATTTAGATTATTGATATGCAGTGATGATTATAGGAATCAATTTTATTGTAATCAAAGGTGGGAAAAATATATACAATTCACTAAAGTTCTGTATATACAGTAGAGCATCAATTATCCAAATACCAATCAACCGAAAGCATTCCAGTCGGCAAATTCAAATTTCTGCTAGGGCTGTGGCATTGCAGCACTCTTCCCCTCCCTGCCAAACTGAACTGTAGGCCTAGTTTAATGTATTACATTATATAAGGCAGTGGTCCCCAACCCCCGATCAAATGGTACCAGGCTGCCCAAGGAACATTAAATTATTTCCATTTTATTTACTATGGTGTATTTCCTAAGGTTTGTGCAACTTTTAATGGACGACAGAACAACAGAATAAACTGGACATAAGAAACACACTTCGGGTGTCATTGTCTCCTATTAACCCCAGAGGGAACCGTCTCGTTGCAATGAAACAAGCTCAGGGTTCTCATTGATTTAGCGTTCTAGTGAGTTAAAATGTTAAATCACATTATATTCATTTTTTGGTGTAACTGTATTTTATTTTGAAGGCATGTTTAAATACAATTAAATTAAAATTATTAAATTAAATCAATCTAAAATATAAACAATCAACGTCCCCCTTCAGTGGGCCGCGGTAAAATATCAAACGTTGACCGGTCCGCGGCGATAAAAAGGTTAGGGACCGCTGACCTAGATGACCTATTCTATTGGATATTGGAGGTGTATGTGAATAGAATCGAACAAGCAAAATAAAAAAAAGGTCGAAAGGTTGTGCACGGTATCACCAGGTAAAATTAATAGTTCATTCGGATGGTGAGTCGATTCTCGGACCATCCGGATGGTAACACTATTCCCCGTGCTCATTTCAATCTGTCCGAATCGTAGTAGCGACGATAATACGAAGTAAAATGGTTCAAATTTTTACAAGATGATATTATTTATTGTGAAATTTTGTCGCCCCCACTACGCTACGCCATTATTTAGCCTATGGTAGAATTAGTTTCGTTAAAACATCGTTTCACTAGGTTCTTGGAAACTGCGGCATTCAAGTAAGGACATATTGAAATGTTACACAGTAAATATTCCTGTTTAAGACATTTTCCGCATCTAATAGTCATATTCTATGTTTAACTCGAGATGCTGAATACGATTTTAATCGCGAGTTCAGTTAATGCGAAGTGAATATCGATTTCAAGTCTGAAATCACGATTTAACTGGTGGCCATCGGCGCAATATAAATCACCATGCATTAATTAACATATAATTCAAGTTAATTCTCGAATTACAGCTTAACATTTGTTCTATTTGAATTCTTCGGAAAATGTACTTTCGATTTTTATAACAATTCGTGCCCATCTATAT